TAAATATCACAATAAACGATTTGATAAGTATCAGTTTTATGAAGTTAGTATTTACATATGTAAAAATTGGTATTTAAACATTACATATTTTGCATATTGAAAACCTTTATATAATTCTATTTAAAAATATGTTATTTTAGTTAAGTGTTTTAAGATATTTAAATATTGACGTATTTAAATACTGACCTTTTGTCATCCTTATTACGAACAATTTGAGAGACAAAGATTTCTAGAGAAAACAATATAAGTATTACTTTTATCATGATTTCTTTAATTGTGTTATATACTTCTTTCAAGTTTAAAATAATTTTTCGTTTTGGCATAGTTTCTTTCTCCTTAAAATAGTTTTCTTTAGCTGTCAAAACGCTGTTCTTGGGTTCTTCCAATATTGTCGACACTTCATTTGTGATATTCTCGTCGACAAACACATTAAGCAACTTGAATAAAGCTGTACCATCACCAAGAGAATGATGAACACGAAATACTACAGGAACTTCGTCTACATTGGTATTAAAACTGTCTTGAGAAGACAAGCTCGGATCGTCTTCAATGTAAGATTTGACGTTTGGACAACGTCTGCCAATGAGCATTTCCCACATCGGTTTGTGATCATCATACAACGGTCTGTTGCATATAAAACCTAGATTTTCTTGAAAGGTTGTACTGTGAACATTCTCGCAAGATCCATCGCAATTACTGATTTTACACTCCAACCATCTAATTGCGGTCTCTGGATTAAATTTTGATTTCTCCCAATAAAAGTAACCAAACTTTTGATATCTATAGTAAAACAGTTTTTCGATACTCTTGGAGGCAGTCTTAAATACGTGATTAAATAAGTTTCTCATATCCTTCAAGAAAGTCATATTTGTACTTCCTGCGGTTTTCTTCATTATTAATACGANAGTAATCACGGATAAAGATGTATCTTCGACGGACCAAAAAGCATCCGACCCTTCCAACATACCGGCAAATTTGTCTTTAAGTTGAATTCTTAGCACAGTTTCCACCCAACAACGGTAAATATATGAAACCATCAAAATCGTGATAAGAAACGGAGCAAGCAATAAAAAACAAACAAGTCCTAAGAATTTTCGAATTACTATTTGACATGTTTCACTTAATATTTTAGATTGCATCTCGTTTTCGGTGTAAAAGTGTCGGTTAAATTGAAGACTGCTGCAACTTGGATATATTTTACTATTGTAATATTAAATTATTTTACTATGTGTGTAAGAATGATTTTTTCTTTCTATAAGAGATCTCCAAATATTGCAGGTAGAAAAAAGCTGCAGTTCACGACCCTGAAAATAAGTTTTTTATGTTTATTTCTTATAATAGTTCTTTAAATAATGTAAACAATTATTTAAAAATAAGAGGTTTATGGTTATTGATGTTTTTCAAGATAAATATATCAATTGTACTTTCTTTGTATTATTTTTGCTATTTTTATTTTCTGTTGCAAAGATAATACAAAAAACCTGGAAAATAGTGTAAGTATTTATATTCTTTCTCGACGACCTATAAATGTTAATAAAATGGATTCTATAAATCTAAAAAAGTTATGAGTTTTCTACACAAAAATTTATCTTTCTCTTTACTTAGCAATTTATTTAATGTTGAAATTGTTGATGTAACGCAAAAAGTATCAATATTTTGTTTAAAATATAATACACTAGGCAAACATATACAAGTGCGTGTGGGATTATTGTGCGTATCTGGTTTATCTTGTTGAAATAGATAATGGATGCTTTCCATTTCATTTATATGCGTACAGTTATCTATAGTACATGGTACGTGTATACCATAAATCATGCGCGCGCGTCCATGAAACTAGATGTGTCTACTAACTGTGGAACCGCTTCAATCGTTTTCCACATAATCTGTATGTTTGTATTATATTCTTGTTTCTCTCTTACAAAATCACTCTTATCATAAAAATTCTATTTTGATCTCTTACACTATCGACAAGATCTAAGATCAACATGTGACTATAATGATAGTTTTTAAGTTTTGATTTTTTTTTCAATAAACGCAATAGTGTATCAAGTGTTGTACATTCATCAAGTTTCAAACTCTTTCTTTAACTCTATTCAGTTCTTGCTCGCTTTTTAATTAAATGCCCGGTAAACAATTTTTGATATATATCTTGATAGCCGAATGATATCAGTATGCCAGCAGTATGCAGGCAGGTGTAGTTAGCATTTTGTAGGAGATTCCGCTCAGCTGTGTTATTATAATCAGTGAATTATGTAGGCACGATATGTAAAGAGAACAACAAAGCTAAAATATAGAAACAAATAAAGAATGAAATAACAATAGCACGTTATGCTTCAAATCTGCTACATTTTTTTAAGCAAGTTCTGCTTGATTGATGCAATATTTGTATCACGGCATCTTTTACGAAAAAGAATTACTGGCAGTAGTACATTACGGCAATGGTACAAAAGAATTACTAACATTTTGCTTGCCATTAATATTCTCAATGATTCTTGTAATACCTAATAATATTCTTGTGTGATATCAGTAATATTTATAGTACTGATTTTATTTATATTTAATTGGCAGTAGTTTTTTTTTGTAAGGCATGACACATTCAGTCTGTCACACAAGAACATCGGTTGCATATTAAAAAAAAATTATTATTTTTAAAACAGTTAAAGATTGATTTAAAGTGCAGTAAAAAGACTATTACGCATTTACTTAATAAGTCGTTTACTCTCCATTATTGTCGAGAATTCGCTGACACCGTTTTGATATACTTTCTCCAAGATTTTCTGCATATTGTTGCGGTAATGGAATCTGCTGCATGAATAAGTGGAATCTGCTGCAAAGTGCTGATTAAATCAACGTGCATACTGCTGGTATACTGCTATCACTTGGGTATCGGGGAATATTACTTATACACAAATTAAAATTATTATATTTAAGTATGCACATTTATCCATACAATTATGTCCATACAATTTTATTGAGAATTACATGGAGAATTTCTTTTTTTAAAAGAATGGCTTCAAAGATATTCCATATCAAATTACAAAATAACTTTATTAGTATGTTAGATACAAAAAAATTATATAAAACTATAGTTTTTGTTTTTCAAAGATCACTTCAAAATCACAATATGACGGTATGTCGATCACATTGTGTGATTTTGAAGTGATCTTTATATAAAATATAAAGATATAATATTTTTATATAATAATTTTCATTTGCGTATAAGTTTATATGATTATATATATATCAAAAATATTTTACCGGGTGGCTTTACAGAATAGTATTACTAAGGCATCAGTGATTAATTATTGTCGCTTAATACTTTAATTATTAAATCACAGAAATTTTTAGTAATTTCACTAGTACTGTGTCAATAATTTTTAGTAGGTAGTAATTGTATGTGTGCTTGATTTGTGATCCAATAAGTGAGCCGTGTAATAAATTACTACAGAATCACTGAGAGACCTTCTAATGAATTATTTGCTGAGTGATGAAACTATGCGATCCATTACTTAAACTCAATGATACATCACTGACTCAGTAACGTGGCTGCAGGATAAATTACTACACAAGTACTGGAGCTTTATAATGAATCACTGACTCAATGATTTAGCTGTGACAAAACTTACTGGTACATTTACAATACTAAGAGAAATATTTTTATTCATTGTTGCAGGTATATTGCAATATTTTTAATAAAATAATAATTTAAATAATTAAAATGAGATGTGTAAGATAGCTTGAGAAGAAGTAGATAAAAATAACTACAATTTATTAATAAAAAAAATTAGTAAGAAACAACTCTTACGAAAAAGAACTACTGCCGATTACATATAAATAATGTCAATAATATAAATATTACTGACAATTACATAAGGATATCATCAGATATTACAAGAATCACTGAGAATATTACTGGCAATTACACAGAATGCCAGTAATTGTTCGTACCACTGCCGCAATATATTACTGCCAGTAGTTTTTTTCGTAAGGGAAGTGATCTCGCGGACTGACATTGAGTGAGGCGGCTGTGAATATGAAGGTCTCAAGGTCAAATCCCACTATAATTTTTAAGATTTTTCAGATCTGTTCCTTTTCAACAAAGTTCATCAATCAGCGAAACGAATCGGGCCTCCAAAGATTAATTTGAATAAAATCTCGAAGTAATTCCTCTTCCAAAAGACGGTGTGCCATTTGTTTTCTTTTAGTAAGAAATTCCCCACTTGGATTCTAGATAAAATCTTTTTTTAAATTTTAAATTGCAAAGCGTTACACTTCCAATTAGAATCGATATAGAATTTTTACGACGAATCCAGTATATTTTGGAAAAGTTTAACTGATTTCTGAATAAATCCCAAACAAATTTCTATGCGAGCACTAACACTAATGTGTTTAATAATTCACCATCAGTAATAAGTCCTCAGTAATTATCCACTAATTCTTAGTAATTTGCCAAATTATCACTGGATGATATGCTATTAATTCATTACTCAATTTAGTTTAATAAAATTATAATTAATAAACTTCTATAAGGATGACACATTACCTTGTATGAAGAAACTGATTCTACTTGATGTGAACACTAGCTCGATATAAAGAAGACTATAACAAATTCTTTATATGCAGAGAAGCCGAGTATGCAAATTGTTAAGTCTAGGAGAACTAGATATTTTTTTATGGCGTCACAAACCGCGCAATTTGTGTTATGTAATTAGTTTTTTTCTCGGATGTTAAACCGTGACATTTGCACTTTGTGTTATGTAATTATTATTGTTCTCGGATATATACGCGTCGTATTGTCATATGACATATGATAGTTTAAATATTTGTCATAATAAAAAGTAACTAGAATTTAATAACTCTTGGACCTTAGTTCACTATTTTCATTCCTGCTATTCTTTAAGTGATTGCCCCGTCCATGATAATTTAGATTCCCGTCTTAGACCAAAAAAAAGACCGACAAGTGAGAAGATGCTAGACGAGCAACAGCGGCAAAACCCCGTTGGCTCTCTGTATCACCAAAACTTCCGCACGACTTGCGTACTTGTCTCTCATATCTCTCTGGGTCAGTGTGCCGGAAATAAACACACAAAGTGTCGTGTGTCAGTTACGTTCCTTCGGGTCAAGGACCCAACAGTTACTATACGCCAGAACGTAACACATAAAGTATAAAGCTAGACTGAAATAATCTTTACTTTTCTCTAAAATTTCAATTTTGTCGGATACTTGTTATTAGTATGAATGTGTGTATCAATATCAAAATATTAGATTTAATAATTGTTGTTTTTACATATGATTTGTCATTTTCAGTTACGAACTCGAGAAGAGTGCTATGATCATCCGTGACTTTTAAATGCACTGTATAAAATAATTCTGCTGGGAAAAAATTTAAAGATAGTACGGACTCGTTCAAATGTAGAGTTTTCGCCTGAATTAGAGCAGGACAAATATTTATATTAGCCACTGCATTAAAGCAGGCACACATTGGGAACATACACCCCAGATAGCCAAATGTGAAAACTCAATATAAAGCAAATCATTGTATAGATTAAGTTGCTCGCCAATTGTGTTGTTTTTATTTAACGCAACGAAAATGTTTTTGTCAATTCAGTATCAATATGCTGAGTTTTATTATCAATCAATTGTTGTAACCAATGTTTAGAACATGTGAGGTAGCAATATGTGAGCAATATATGAGCAATAATTTTTATTCATAAAATGAGAAAAATAATATAAGTTTATTGCGGATGAGTTGTTGAGAACTTGCTGTTATTATATTTTGAAAACTGTTGTTGGCAAGAACATACTGAAAAGAGGATACACCNTTTTGTTACATTGTTGAAAACGTATGAGTAATATATCAGAAAAAAATGAAGTGATATATATTGCGAGATATTTGGCCAAACGTCATTTAACAAAATATCCACATTTTGGCCAATATATACAAGACGGATGAAGCCACAAGTCTTCATATTTATGACTACAAAGCTTGTCATTTCGTGGCTTACTTCAACTCTCGACTAGATGGATGCAGCAAGTCCTTACAATGGAAAACTTTTCTTAAATTTTATAAAAAAACTTTAAGTGTGGCAAAAACATTGTTAGTAAAACAAGAACATATATAACAAAATAAATAAAAGACGTCTTCTCCGAATAAGTAAAAGAATTTTGTAGACAAAAAACTTTTTACTTGTATAAAAGTTTTCAATTTAAAAAAGAAGGGAAAAAATTAAAAAAGCAAAAGATTTCTTTTTCTAATAATAAGATAATTAAAAAGTTACAAAAAATTATGTCTTAATTATTTGTTTTAACACAATTATAAATATAAAAATTCAAATATTTTATAATCATGTATAAAGTATATATATAAATATTGTGTAGTATGTATAATTGTAATATGTATAATAATATATAATTAATAATAAATATTAATTAATAATTATAATAAATATTGTATAAGTTAAATGTTTGAGCGCTGTTTCTTTAATATATTGATTACCACCATAAATTTGATCTGGTCAAAACTGGCAAATCATTTAAATCATTTTATTAGTAGATTTGTCAATATTTTGACATATACGTTTTCTTTTTTTAAAAAACAACTCATCCGCGTTTTTTATTTTTATATTGAAGATTTGTAGTTAAATTTGTAAGTTTCATTTTTTTATGTCAATGCATCATTGTATGAACCTTCCAGACGTTCAACGTGTTTCTTTTCATTGCATATTAGGGAGCGAGAGGTAATAGAAGCTATGGGGTAATAGGAGCGAGCGGTGCTCGTTTGTACGTATCTAACACTTGGTTTCCTTCGAAAACCAACCAAATGCGTTTGTTTACATTCAGGTAACTTCGTGTCAAGCGGCCATTACGCCAGTGCCACTAATGAAGTTGTGAGAGACGATATTGTGTTTTGTGGTGCGCTTACCCGGATAGCACAAGGACGTCTACTGTATGTTCATTAGACATCCGATTTTGGACATTAGGATTCTATACAAAGTCCAAATAAAGTTCGTCAGACATTCGATGAATTTCCATGAGATGTACATTTGTCACAACTTTGTACGTTCACAGAATGTCCGAAACTTATTCAATTTTGGACCTATTATGAATTGATTTTGGACTTCTTTTTGAATCGCAAATATTAAGTAAAAATATTTAAAAAACAACAATAGTTGATTTTTGTTTGCGTGGTTCTGAGTTTGGAGTAAAGATAGAGTAGTGAGATTTTTGAATTAAGAGACTGGATCTGAAAAGTATTTAACTTTCCACAAATTGCAAAGCAAACGAAATAAAGAGATTTATTTAAGTTTTTTTTCTGAAAAAGTGTTTTCAAGTATCTCAATTTTCTCCAGGAAATTTAACAAGACGGTATGCTGAAATAGTAAGTGGATGCAAACATATAAAGTGTCTTGATATGCACAAGTGTAAATTTGGAAATATGCAACTGTACGTAAAAATACATGTTTATTAACTTCTTTAAATTAAATAAATTTACTTATTTTTTCTTACTCTACAATTATACATATAATATCACAAGTAGATTACTACTTTGGTAACTGAACAGTCTTTTAATGATATATAATAGTATTTTTTTCAAGTAAACTTAGAATAGTTTTTTTTTAAATAAACTATATTACGATAAACTATATTTGATTATTCAATACGTTTTTGGTTTGCAAGTTTTTTTTTTCATCTACATTGGACCTTTCCTTCGCGCTCTCCTTAATCATATTTTTATAGATTCTTCTAGATTCTTCTTTGTAAGTGACTCATTATACACTTCTCTTGCAGTTGAAGGATAAAATATATTAAATATGAAAATATATTTTTGAAACAATTAATTATTTATTGTTAGAGATTTCCAATATATCGTTACGTTTCGAGTTGTTTATTTGTCGATGTTTTGCAAACATTGTATGTTTTATCAGGACTTGTAGGCTTTCTCTCTCTGATATACATATATTCTACAGTATTAGAAACCTGAAGGAATCTACAAACTTTATAAAACGTCAGCGAATAAATAAGCAACTCAAAATTCGGCAATAATTCGAAATGTAGAAAAATAGACAGGAAGATCATGGAAATCTTTAAGTTTTAAATAAATTATTTAGATAATATTAATTACTTACCAATTAACATTTCTGTTAATTTCAACTCATGAAATTTTTGTTTGTGTTTCTTTCCCAACCAACTGAATTTTTCCGCCAACTTATTACTTAAGAGTTGGCTCAAATTGCGTTTCATAAATTCGTAGGAATGTTTGCCACCAGTACGCGATGCTTGTGTAATATATTTCTTGTTATTGTTTGTTGTTATTATTATTTGTTGTTATTATCATATTTTGTTATTATTTAAAACTGAAACCTAAGAATAATATTTTAGAATAATATTTATAATGCCCTTTTAAGCATTAACTTTTATATTTTATATTATCTTATAATTTTAATTTTTAAGTACTTATAATAGTTTTATGCAATAATATTTTAGATTCCCTCAATTTATTCTTCTTTCCTTCTGATTTACCCTACACATTTACCCTGTTTAAACAAGTTTTTATATTTAAACATAAAGCATAGAGTCGCGATGAAAGTTTATTCTCTCTGTTCATTTACCATTTTTACTTAAATTTTATTATCATATATTCTATCTTTCATTCATATTCTGTTCATTTATACTTTTTACTTCATTTTTCTTATTATATATTCTATTTTTTAAAATTATCGTATATTCTATCTTTTAAAATGTATTATCATATATTTTTTACCTTTTAAAATTTATTATCATATATGCTATCTTTTAACATAACGGTATTTTCCGCGTTCTTCGGAGATTTTGCCTTAATTCTTATTTCGTAATTGTTTTTAAAAGTAAAAGTAGAGTTATTCGCGATTTCGCGGTTTTCGCGACACATTACAGCAACGGGGCCATCGGTAAGGATAAACGTGGTCTCGCGTCGCGGGACTACGATTATCTCGTCGCAAGCGCGCATTCGTCGCATCGTGGGACGTGACAGTAAAGGTAGGTTATCATTATAAAATGATAATAACACTCGTCCTAGTTTTTACAGTCTCAACGAATTGTCCAAATATATTAAAGTCCAAAAAGATCCTTTACCACCATCTTCTCGCCCTTTCATCGTTTACAAAATTAAATGCNGTGANTGTGANGCTTNATATGTTGGTCAGACNAGTAGAATNCTNCTGACTAGAATAAAANAACACAAAAATCATATCAATAGAACCTCNGCACAGAANTCAGTGATNACGGAACATAGAATTAATTTTTCACATGAATTTGACTGGGATTGTGTTGAAATATTAGACAGTGAAAGATCTTACTACAAACGTTTAATCTCAGAGACTCTGTACATCAAGAGTCAAAGTCGCGGGCTGAACTTACATAGCGACACAGAAGGATTAGACAAATCATATTTACCATTTGTAGATAACACACGNTCTCAGCCTTTGTCAGTGACACGTGACTTTGATTCTGATTTGATTTAAAATGTATGTATACTTCGTATCAGTTACTATATCGCTTCTGTGAAGATGTGACAGCTTTATGTGTTTGTGACACACATCTTTACCCAA